GAGATCTTGTTTGAAACCAGAAACAACTTAATGACTTTCACTAAAGATCCCAGGTTTTCAATTGTTTTGATCAAGTTGAAGGACAAATCCAAACTCCTGAAGATTTAGTCAGAACAAAAGAATCACGTCAAAAAATATTTTCAATCTTCAGTTCTCAAAGGTGCAATTAAGATGGACATTTGATAAGACCGAGGGCCGATATTCTTCCAGTATGGTCCCAACAAGCTTGGTTAATAAGAGATTTATTATACGACTGAAGTTCAAAGGGACACAAGTGTGGTATCATTCGGGACCATTTGGGACAGTGCTCGGTCCAATACTTAGAGAATATTGACCGGCAATAGAGCATTTTGATTGGTTGAATTTAGTTATTGGCCCTCTGAATGCCTGAGTCGTGTAATAATGCTTCATATTACAGCAGTTGTTACCATGAAAGGTGAAGATGAAGGTACAGGATAGAAAAGTCTCTCTAAATTTAGATGCTTAGAGGGTTTAAACTTCATGTAGAGTGATTTTTCATGTTAATCATTGCAAGAATATTTTCCTGCCTGCATTACCTGCCAAGCAAAGAATCATAGGAAATTTCTGTCACTTAGCATTACTTAAGGCATTACATATGACATTACATATGCCATGCTTTTAAAAGACTATCAAAGATAGTTCCTATGAGTGCAAATTCTTCATCACATGAGAGGAGAAAAACCACCATTTCAATTGGCCCTCAGATATAACCTGAATTGGAATGACAGTCTCATCACACAAACAAATAATAAAGGGGTAAGTTTCATAGGAAACTGTGGTGCAGCATCTGTAGGGGCCATTACAAGATAATTTGGTTTATCAGATGAGTTCATAAATAGATGTAAATTGGCCACCATCAAGAGTTTTTAAAGCTGATGTATAGAGCCTTAGTCCTTCATCAGAGCATTACAGTAGCCCTTGTCAAGCTTGAAGTAAAATGTTCTGTTGCAATTGTTATATAGAGTTCTTTCTCACGTGAGGTTGGTGAGGTTGTCCAGTCCCTCTATCTGTGTAATCTGATTATCATACAAGTCCAGCTCCTCCAGGGTTGTCAATGTGCTTAGTCCTTCAATCTTTGTGATTTTATTTCTTCTTAAACAAAGAGACTAAAAACAAATATAGGCAAGTCTGGTCATTGTACCTGTATTAGCCCAGCTAACAGATGGATTCACAGGCACTTACAGTGTAAGTAGCAAGACAGAAGGTATTTAATTTACACTACACATGTGCAAAGTTGTGCCTTTAATCTGGGCTTTTATCCTGTGCTGGAAATATTTCAGGAAAATGTATCAGTGGCAGGTCAAGTGATTGCAAACTGACCAATGGCAATCATTTAACCCCTTAACTCCCATGAGTGACCAAGACAGAACTTCTCCTTACAATATCAATGCAATATCAAGCAGACAAGTAAAGAGAATAAAGAAACATATCAGTTATGGGATTATTAGTTGATCCAATTTCAAATTCTCCAAACTACCATCCATAGAATTGTATGACAGACACTTAGGAGAAGTTCTAATTAGATCATGGGGGTAAAAGGGTCAAGCCGAAGAGAGACTGCAAGTGCAGAAGAATATCTATCTCAGTCTAAACCATACCTTAACACAAGTCAGTCTCTCAAGGTTTTCTAGTTTTTCAATTTTTGCATGAGTCAGGTCAACATCCTGCAGGATTTAACAAAATATTCAGCTATAGCAGGTGCTCTTTTATGACAGTGCTTTAGTATTTAAGTCTACAGGTTTTTTCGGGGGGGGGGTGGCTGATAGATATTTCTGTCTTGGAGTTTAAGGGCAATCCATTTAATAAATTTTTCACCTCCCGTTACTGAAGTCACTGACCTTCCGAAGTCCCCTTGAGAAATCATCACTGTCATGACACTAAACTCTCCAAAAGAAAGAATAGATTTTTCTTGAATTCGTCAAAACTTTTAGACTTTTTTTTAAAGGTGCCGACTCTCGCACCCTATTTGAAAACACTTACGCTATCCAGGATCCCCTCAAAAATCCCGTAAACTAATACTAAACCTCAGCAAATGTAGCTACAAGAAACTACGAAGGCAAGAGCACGATAATTTTAAAACATTTCCTTTGATCTTACCTCTGCATCATGTTCCACGTTCAGAATTCGCACCTGACCAGACTCTACGACAAGGAAAACTAGACTGAGTATGTGATGTATAATACATAATTACCGCTAAGAAAGAAAAATTTTACCTTCTTCATTAGCAGCGCTTCCCTCCATATTGATTTTAGAAATTGCAAAAAATCGTCCGAAGCTCGTGCTTGTCAGCGGTATCAAAATATCGTCATGAGAGACTACTGAAAATAATGGCGGCTGATTGTAGTTGAAATTTGAATCAAAATATGCCAGAACATTCTCCTTCGCCCACTCCAGAGAGAGCGGTCTATGGATTTGTACTGTACTTAGGAACCTATTTTGGACTTGGTAAGTATTAAAGTGGAGATTGTTTAGATCTGATGTCGTACACGAGTCCTCTCCAGATTCTCGAAAATCAAATAAGCTCAAAGGCGCCTCAATAAAACTGTATTAACTTTTAAAAAAGGACAATATTCACGACAAGGCAGCTATAAACTGTATCTGATCGTGAATTAATTTGCTTAATTTATTTCAATCATTAGGCCTGTATTTTATTTGGGCTTGCGTCCCAGAAGAATGGCTGCAAAGTATTGGAATAACTTATCTTCCTCAAAGGTAACCTTGTGGTCACAGTTAAGCTCACGAGCAGGTTGGGTAGATTTTTTCCACCATAATGTCCCATATTCGAAATATATTGCGCCGATAGGCAAAAAATGAATGACTTTTGTAGGGAGGGAAAATGTGAAAGTGAAAATAAGAGCTTTATTGAACCTTATTGAAGAGTGGTGTTGGGGACACTCGAGAATAAATTAATGCTGATAGATAACGGGGAGATGGGGGGAGGAGCGTTTCATATGATTTTGAAAAGTGAAAGGAAATCTGATGAGAGTGGTTCCTGTAAAAATGTCATACCTTTTTGTAGACAACACTCCACCATGAACTGACTGTGGGTAACTGCTGACATAGGGGAGAGAAGGGGGAAGGAGCCTTTTATATGATTTTGAATAGTAAAAGGAAATTTTAGGAGTGATTCCTGTAGAAATGTCATACTTTTTTGTGGGCAACACTCCACCATGAACTAACTGCGGGTAACTACTCTGACATAGTATGTTTCCCACCCTAACACTTTTTTTTTCTCTTGCTACTCCCCCCTGCAAATTAGTGGCTTCTGAGTAGAAGTGGGAGTGGGTGTGATATGATGACAGGGGAGTTGTAATTTCTGCAATTTAAATTATTTGAGTGGAAACAGCTTCCATTTTTACTTGACAATGAAATTTGAAGATAACTTACCAGTAATACTTTTTTCATTTGACTATTATTTTCATTTTCCAGGTACTGGGTGTTAGCTGGACCAATTTATCTCTGTGTTGCATTTGTGTTTGCAGTTTTGTTCTATATAGCATATAATTTCACCATCACTCTCCCACCAGACTCCATCAACACAATTACAGGTTAGTATACATAATCGGTAATCTGGATTAATTTGTAATGGATAACAAATAAACACTATTTATCTTAAGTTTCTAAGCTGAAGATTATTTAGGGTGTTGAGAATTGCTTTTCAATCCATCCACTTCATAGGAAAGAAGAGAAATGAACTGGTGGAATGAGATGTGGTTTGGAAGTCATTAGGTCTTTAACTAGCCTTATTACATGACTCGGGCAGTCAGAGGGCCAATAACTAAAATCAACCAATCAAAATGCTCTATTGCCGGTCAATATTCTCTCAGTATTGGACCGGGCACTGTCCCGAATGGTCACAAATGATACCGCACTTGTGTCCCCTTGAACTTCAGTCGTATAATAAATCTCTTATTAACCAAGCTTGCTTGGGACCGTACTGGAAGAATATCGGCCCTTGGTCTTTTTTGTATGGACCGAGCGCAGCGCTCGGTCCGTACTGTCAAGACCTCGGGCCAATATTCTCCCAGTACGGCCCTCGCGCTTGGTTAATAAGACTTATATACAGACCATGAACATGATCAATAGGAGGAATCATCACTAAATATGACTCACACAGACATGTTTCATTTTATCTCAGTTTATAAATTGTTGATCAGATATTTTGGTCGCCTGTAAGGCAAGAAAAATTTTATGGTGAACAAGTGCTCATTATTTTCTTGGTGAAAACTATAGCTGCCATCTCTGATTTTTAGAGCAGTGGAAGGCTGGGGAGAAAAAGAAATTGTAAAACGGGGTGTGATGGTCAAAAGAAAGAAGAGGGGAGGGGTTGCGGTAATTGGAGACTCACTAGCCGGCAAAGGGTACATATTTTCTTCTTGTGACAGATGTCCAGAATTTGAGAAGTTACATCCTGTATCAGAGTTTGGAGATTTCTGTAGTTACCCTCCCTACTGCTTTCCCCAACACAACACTTATTTCTCTAAAATTCTCATCAGAGGGAAGAAATCAAGTGGTTTCACAAATGTTTTTCTTTTTGAACTTGCAGATCAACATGCTCAATACATTAATGAAGAAAAAATTTCAGTTCCTCTTGGATCAGTTCCACCTTTGTATGACATTCCACTCAGCCAAGTAAACAGGGCCCTCTACCAAGACTAACATGTACTACTCTTCAGATTTCTTAACTCTGGACATGTTGGCTAAATTTAAGTATTTTTTTTCTTTTTTAATTGACAAGGTTGTACATGCAATTTATTGAGGTTGTACAGCATAATTAAACTTGTATTTAAATCAGCTATTGATTTCAAGAAATAAGGAATGGTATATTAAACCCTAACCATAAGGCCGAGTTATTTTTGTAACTAATCTCTCAGGCACCAAAATTAGTTATGGAAGTAACAATTGGCATCAGAAGTATGTGAAACCATTTACATTTTGCCACCTTTGAGATTACAAAGAGTGACCAAGCCCTAAGAGAATTGTCTTCAAATGAGTTTAAAATGCAGCTTCACATACCATGATTTCAAATGCAACTCAAAACCCTGGCTGCACCAATGAAATCAATAGCTGCAGTTCTCAGACTGTTGCTGCTAAATAAGTTCACAATACACTGAAATTAAGACTTTCAAAAAGTCTGATTCCCTTTAACAGAGCTTGTGATACACTGAAACACTAGCTTTGTTTTGAACTCTTTAATAATGATTAACCCTTGAGCTTAGACAAACAAAAACCAAAAACAACAGGATCTGAAGAAGCAATGATTTTAAACTCTACAATAAACTTGCAAAGTAACTGTATATAACAAATATTGTTTTATTAAGAACAGTTTTAAGAATCTCTTGAAATCTAAGGGAAAATAAAAGTAATGAGTGTGTAACAAATCCTTAAGTAATTGGCCTTTTAATCATGAATTCTATTTATAATTTTTGATACTTGTACAGATTGTGCATCATGTAACACTTCAACAAGTTGTTAAGCTGGGGGGGGGGGGTTTCTTTCTAATCCCTGGCTTTTGCATTGTTTTTGTTCTTACTAATTTTGTTTTGCATTCCCCAAAAAAGCCCTTGTCATAAAAAGTAAACATGTCTAGAATGCTAGAATTTACTTGAAGAATCCCACATGTGACATACGATGAAATGTTTGTTGTCTTACAGTTAACAAAGTTAACAATTGATCAACATCAATTATCAATTGCTAAAAATTAGGTATTGACAAAAGAAACAACTTTTACGATCAAAATTCTCAAATAACAATGATTGAATTACATGTACCATCTAGTTGATAAGAAGAAATCAGTGCCTACATTTGGCCCAAAAGTCCAATCAGTTAACTTTACCACAAACCAAAAGGTGTGTTTATTATTTAACTACCAATAGAGTGCTTTCAATTACATGTAGTCAAGTCAGAACCAGAGTGAACACCATGACCAGTAAGAACAAAAGTAAACAGCAAAACGAGTTAACAATCAAAACAATTCGTGACACCAACCTTGAGTTCAGAAGAGCACAAATTACATGTGAAGGTGGCATGAAGCTTTTCTGAGCAATCTATTAGCAATGGGAAGAGAAATGACTGCAATCCCAGAAAACATTTCATGCTATGGCTCAATTGAAAATTGCACTTCACTTGGGTTTATAAGAAACACAACATCACAGTTCACCTTAGGCTCACTCAGGTAATCAAATAGAGCTCATTTATAACAGAAGCTATGACCTTGCATTCATACAAAGACCAATAACATACAAGATAGCAGCTTCCATAAAATATGAATTAATAAAATGGAAAGTCACCCTCCAAGTACACAAAATGCTTTTCTGAATGGTAGTTTTCACTAAGTACCTTCTTCTCAATCTGTGAAAAACATTTGGTTCCAGCAAAATTATACAAAAGCTTTGGTGATTTTGTTTTTTGTTAAAAAAATCTCCAGCAACTAATTTCGCATCACAAATCGAAGGTTTTTTCCAACAAGTTTCTAGAGTAAAGTCACTAAGATTATAAAACTACTTTTGGCGGTTTTTGAGAACACTGAAGAGCTCCTGCTGCACTTGTTTTTGTTTCCCTTGATCAGCTAGACTATGGATACTCCTGAAATTAAGCATTGGTAAAATGTAAGCTTCTTCCACCTTTTCTCTTTTGCAAGAGTAACAACACAACGAATTTAAAGAAATCCTGCCTTGAGATCTTGAACAAGGTCTCAGGCTTAGAGAAGCAGCAGTATCTTACTTCTGCATAATATTTACCAAATTACTCAGAACACAAATATAACAGTTTTCATGAGCACTGCTCAACTCATGCTTTCACATAATCATCATTTCTTATTCTGCACAGGGAATCAGCATATAATAAATCAAAAAAGAATTGGTGCCCTTTTTAAAATGAATATAAAAAAACAAAAACAATCAAGAAGAAGAAATGAAATGACGAGTCACAACATTAATTAAGAAGAAATGAAGATTTCCCTCAATGGTAACCTTCAGCCACATCAAAAAGCTGCAACTTTGTGATGTTCATGCACTAACCACAAGGATGTGTAATGCAGCACTAAAGAGAACCATTAAGTTTAAGCTTACCATGACTGCTGAAGACTGTCACGTGTATCACAAAAAGCAAACAGACAAAAGGCAAGAGACAAAAAAAGCACCCATGTCCAAGAACTTGCATGACCAAGGGTTCAAACAGTAAGGGTAGTGCACAGGAAACTACAATTCTCACCTAAGGGAATTAACAATATCCCTTGTTTTACCAAAGTAAATTTCATTCAGAGTGTTTCGCATCTTGTTTTCCATGTCCTTTAAAGAAGAAAATAATATGAATGTCTCAGAGCAGATAAATACAGAATTGCAACCTGCATAACCATGCAAGCTGTTATATATTCCCTTTATTTAGAAATGTCAAGAAATTGTTTGTGATTGCACATCCTGGGTTGAAATTGGAACTCTCTTGAAAAAAAACCATACATTCTCTAACAAACAGTTTGAATATAGGAATGGAGGAACTTAACACCTAGCAAATGCCTCTTACATGAAACTTAACATCTACTTCTAAGAACTATATTTTAATTTTAAAGGAATATATTTCAACTCGACTTGTCACTCATTAGCTGAGGCATCCTAATAGATAAAGACTTGACCAACCTTAAATTTGATTGTTCTTGTAATATTTTATGGTTTTAACCTGCATGACCCTTTATAAGAAAAAATGTAAACAGTACCTCAACCATTTTTCCAATGTTGGCAATATGTGGATTGGCATCATTGACAGGACTGTCTTGTTCAGCCTAAAGTTTTGTATATTTGGGAACAAAATAGACTGTCAGTCAAGGAAGAAAGATGAAATAACAAAAGAGATAGAGGGAAACAAAGCGTGCTAGTGAGCTAATGGGATGTGTTGAGCCAAAAGCATGTAGCAGAGCCATATTAATCTCCCTGGAACCCCTAAAAACAATTTGGTGAAACAGACCCATTTACTTGGTTTAAACCTTCTTCGATTTACATTTGGAATCATTCAATTCAACTCCCTGCTGCGATCTATGAATAAGTACAAAATACACATTTATGTCAACTGCACAAAGCCATAATCATGGCACAAAAAAAACAACAAAGGGGTGATGTAAAAGTATCTTTATGAATGGATTAATACCTGTCTAGTCAAACTTCCTCCTAAATTCATGATTCCCGATCCACTCTTAATTGTCTGAGGTCAAAAGAAAAAGAATCAGTTATCAACTTAGGTACAAAGCAAGAGCATTAGACCTGGGACAACTGCACATCCTCGGCATGGAACCACCAAAACAATGTCAACATCAAAAAATATCTAATCAGAGGACTGCCAGTAGAATTTGTTCATACCTGAAGCCAAAGCATGACTGTTGATGTGAGCTTGTAGTGGGCTTGTCGTCCGCTGCTTTTCTCCTGAGGAATATGAAACACTCACAGTCTAGCTTTAACATTTCACAAGTTTTGTGCTTTTGTCAATGTGTTTGTTTCTGACTGGCAACATACCTGAACCTCCACAACATGGATGGAATCCCAGCAACCTTTGATCTTATCATTATCTCCCGCTGAAATAAAGGTAACATAACAAGCTGATGAATAAGCCACAACTTGACAGCATAACATTTTCTCTGGTTATGGCCCATTTTAAACATGATCAGAATAATTCCGCTGTTTTCAAGCTGGAGACAGAGAACATTTGTTGTCAGTTTAATTTAGGCGAAAATACATGTATTTACATTTAAGTTATAGTGCAAGCTGATCATCAAATGTTAAGTGAAACGGTTGTCGGCAAAAATGGTACAAACCAACTCCTAAGACTACCTAAATACATGTAAACGAATTTATAAAAGACTTTGAACCTTTCTTAATCAAGATGACACCAGCAAATCCATGATCTAAATCCCATAAGTATACAGAAGACACCCCTGACTCAAAGTACCTGCAAAGAAAAGAAATATCACATCAGTGAAAGGTTTCCCAGGGAACTTGTGACCCAGCTTAGTACGAGTGTGGCAAGCATAACAATAAAGGCCACTTTCTCGTCCCTTGCTTTCAGTCATCTGAACACAATGTCAAACTCTTGAATTTGCAGCAAGCATTCATTTCTTTAAAAAAATTTATACCATCCCTGTTTAGATAAGGATTAAAGGATAAGTGACCAAAGTTAAAATTCCTTTTCTGTTGTTTTCCTTGTAATACTTTAATTACCTAACTACAAGAGTACTCAGCAAAAAAAGTAATTTGATAAACAATTATCCAAAAGAAATTTGCTAGGTACAGGGCTCGACGCCAACTTTTCAACAATTTCACTTTATTTACTAGCCAAACTGGCTGATGGAAAGCAAAAACCACTAGCAAAAACTGAATTTCTACTAGTCTGTGGCTAGCGGGCTACCGTTAGTGCTAAGCCCTGCAGGTAGCTTACATTTCTCGGTACTGATCAAAGGCAGTGTTAGCATCTATCTCAAGTTTCCTTAGCCTATCAGATGGCAGTGCACCATCATCCAGAGGTGGATCATAAGAATTACTCCATGGTGATCTGAGGAAAAACAAGAGAACAAAGATTGCAGCCATATTTAAAATGAAAACAGATATTTAACACCTGCTAAACCAAGCAACCAAAAGGGATGTTTGTCTCACAAGTTAAACTTTGCTAATTTAAATTATTAGTTATAACATGGTTTGAGGAGGCAGTCTGGTCCAGCGATAACTATGTTCAACAATGCTCACAAATAGCCAGCTTGTTTACTTCCTACCAGTAGGGTTTTTTTAATCATTTTATGTCTTCCCCCACCCCCTTTTGGAGAAAAAATTAGAACACTTAGGCATGAAAAACGCTCAGAATAAGAAAAAGACACACACACACACACACACACAAAACTAAATAAAAGGAACTCTGATGATGTTAATGGTGTACACATGTAAGCCTTAACAAAGATTACAACCCCAAGTGCTAACAGTGTGTGGCTTAATCGTGCAAGGCGTATCACATGCTAAAAAATACCAGCCAGTCTAGATGTAGTCTATTGTACATCTATACCTGTAGGAATCTCCATCTCTATTATAATCACAGAGAAGATAGTCTTTGCCAGTTGATTTATCCTTAGCAATCTTGAGTGGCTGATCAACAGATGATAGCAAGTCTTCACAGAGTGCAGGAACCTAATAGCATCAGAGGATGTAAATAATGGGAAGTAGATCTTGAATACTGTTAGAGATATGTTAAAGTGCTGGTTTTCAAAAGTTCAGTTAGTGATTAATCAAATGTGAAGTAAATGTAATTCACTTCTGGTAGTTAAAGGTTTAACAAAAAATGCTGCACTGCTAAAACCAAGGACTCACTAATTAAGAAGTGACTGTCACATCTTATAAATGGTGAACAGTGTGGTAAGAGCTAAAAAGATTTCCTTATCAACAAGCAACTTGTCTTTTACTCCATTGTCCACCAAGCAGAGCTCTAAAATGCCACATTTTAATCCACTTCTCATGGCTAAATTGGATTCCAGATACTACTTTAACAAATTGCCATGTAGTCTGACTAGTGTGCTAATAAGGCCATTCTTTAAAAAAAAGTGTGCCTAGAATGCTCTTTTGTATCTAGCAATGATTCACTTATGTCAAGACACCAATACACAATGCCTTGTGCACTTAAAGTGTATAACTATCCCTAGCCTTTAATTCTGTTAAGCAAACGATGTTAAAAGAGGGTTCATGATCCACCAAGTAGAGCAAAATAGCTGTTTCTCAAAACAGTTGTAGACGAAAATTTCACCTACTTTCGCATGTACCTTAAAATATTGCTCATTGCAGTGACTACAAGTGTGATAATATTAGATGATAATCATAACCAGTCAAGTCAGTAATTACAGATAAGAAATACGCAAGTTAGCTTGAAGTTAGTTCGCTCTAACAAATTCCAAAAATCAAGACACGAGCATACATCACTTCAGCAATTTGTAGGGTAATTACCGATCCACTTCCTCCATAAGATAAAGTAAGGTCACTCACCAAATCGATAACATCGCTAAGATTCTTCTCAATTTGCTGGGGTGGCAGCCTTCGCATTAAATCTAACGCACAGTCTAGCTGTCTCTCCGTCTGTAGCATCAACAAATCGCAGTACGAAGTTAGTAGTGTAAATCTAAAGTCAACACAATGAAGGACATAATTTTCTCCGTAAGACCGAAATAGTCCACGTACAACTCAAATTTTTGGTCGCTCGTCAGACACTCCAGTTTATTTACTGTACCATTCCAAGGAAGAATGACACCCGATTCAAGCCATTTAGAATAAAGAACAAAATTAACGAGTTCAGGCGGGTATACAACCACAGAAACAAACAGAACACTGATTGCACTGTGAGTACAGCAGAACTGCTCTTTTCTGTCGATGACAAGTACAGGAAAAACAATACTTACCATTGTGAATGTAACGTGTATTCAAATGCCTAAACACTCACTATAATATAAATGAAAAACAATTTTTAGAAGCGGCTAATAAACCCCTACAACCAGCCGGAAACACCACTTTCTCCACAAGATGGCCGCCGCTCCTACCACACCAGCAAAACAACCAATCACACGTCACTTCCAAATATGGCTTAAACTAACAAGTCAATTTTCAAGGAAAGTTAAAGAATATTCGAAAGGGGAAGTGAATTGACCAAGAAATTATGATAAAAAAATACAAAATCTCGAAGAAATCTTAAGATTACCAACAAAGGAATTGCTTGTTTTAAAATTCTCCGTTTTGCCCCGCAGATCTGTATTATTAAAATCATTTTTGAATAATTTTTCAAATTTCTCCGTTTCGGTCATCTGTACTCATTTCATAGACCACTTTCATTAGTGGCTGCCGGATTAATATTCTTTTCTTTAAATTTAAATAAGCCCTTCTGGCCTTGTTACCCAGTACAAAATTCAAAAGAATACATTATCTCAAGCGAGGCCAGAAGGGCTAATTTAAATTTAAACAAAAGAATATTAATCCGGCAGCGATTTATGAAAGTGGTCTATATAATTTTCTTTTAGGTGTGCAATGTTAAATGAAAAATCAAGAGCTTCCAGTGCACTTCAATCGCCACAAAAATTATACATAACACCTTGTAATCAGCGGACACTCAATTGCGTGAAAAAATGGCCGAGTCCCAATCATTTTTACCATGTTTATCGTGAAATGAACCTGAGTTATCTTCCTGAGGAAATTACGACTTGAAACTTGGCGTCTATACTTCTGAAATGTCGAAATAGAAAACTACGTCAGATATTAGTCATAATGGCACTTGAAACCAAGACGTAGTACCAAAATTGAAAAAGAAAAAACTTCGGCCTTGTCGGCGGAAGTCAACTTCAGTTAAAAATATTGACTTTCAATTTGATGCGACTACAGTTTAACGACACAAATTTTAGTTTTAAAAGTTTATTGCGATAATTAAGAGTTATCCTGCCTCCAATAAACTGTTGGGTCGGAAATATTTCAAGTTTACGTACCAGGAGCCCACTTTACTCAATCTGTTCTATTTAGGTACGTGATTTACTACCGTTGTATAATGTTTAAAACCAGAAATGAAAAGACACACTCCCTCTGTGTTAATATATCATGCATGTACTGACACTAGTGAGAGCCCGACTGATTACATTTATAATCGTTATCATAATTATTGTTATCTCTATTATCATTATCTTTATCAACCTTTCTTTTAGTATTATCATTATCAATATCAACATCAATTTTCTGTCAAATCAAAAGAGGAAGCAGAAGAAGAAGAAGAAGAAGAAGAAGATACAGGCATTTCCGTTTCAGAATCCCTGGCCCTATTCACTGAATAGATCACCACGGCTGGATAGAAAAGAATGAAGATGTGGCTAAGCAAAAACTTTATAAAACAGAATTCACATTATTATGAAAAAAAAAAAAACTAATCCTCTATCACTCTTATGAAAAATTTCACTGAAAAACTTTTGACCTTTTGAACTTTTTGGATTTAGAATTACAGTTTGCACTAACATCATTAGAGCAGCGAATTTCCAAAGACAAGCGATGGCTCTATGTAAAAAAATAATATTAATGATCACCATCACTTGCGCATTTCTAGTCTTTCTTACGTCTACCTAGGGATTGCTCGTTATTTATTGCCTGTGTCTATGCCACAATAAAATTTACCGGATCCTCCCACAAGGCTTTGTAATATTCTAATGTCCACTTCGACGCGCCAAATCTGTCTCATCAGCGGCTCAGAGCTGAACAGCACTTAGTGTATGCTCTTCACTTCCAAACTAGCCAATCAGCATGCGTGAAAGTACCAGTCACCCATGTGACATATACCAAAAGGCTTTAAAAAGCAGATGCATGAACAGAAAGTGACTAAGCTATGATCGCGAAAATTACTTTTTCCCAAAAGTGACCCACATGGCAGTCTATAATTGATACCAGAATTGACTCTAATGAGGTAGGGGTTCTGAGAGGCCAGTGGCACATACCAAACAAAAATTGATCCAAGTTACCCCTTCCCGGGCTTTCTTTTGAGTAGAAAACATGCTCTCTAGTTTCTTGCCTACTTCAATTCTCTATACGTCAAAACACCTGCGACCCTTCTCATTTGACTAACTCTCGTTTTCCTTTTCGGTTGCGATTTAGTATTTTTTTTTGTGGTATTTTTTTCTAAAAAAAAATTAAAAACTTTTTGCAAGTGTGACTCATGTCTAAATTGAAAATCTGTCAGATTTCGTGCCTAACAAGAGCAGATCTAGAGTTAATTTCAGTAAGGAGAACAACAACAGTTCAAATGTTTTTACGGTAATTCACCTGTTCATGGCAAAACACTTACATCCATCACATCCTCTGAGAATGTATGGAAACCTGTTTAAACCAGACTAACCTGTTTTGATAAGTCAGTCATCCATGGTCTGCTCACCTTTTGAACTGATTCTTCTGTCCTTTGCAATCTGCTGGGCGAGTCAGTGACAGCATGAACTACTGCCACACACCTGGGCTTTGCAATCAATTTTAACTCATACCTTTGAGCCTCAAGTGATCCAAAATCAATAAGGCTTTTTCCAAGCAAGTAAGTGTATCCCGAGTTTAAGTAAAGAGAGCTGAAGTAATATATATCTTTGATGTTCACTTCATAGAATAAAGCTCTGAATGGAAGAGACTTGTCCAGTCATGTTTGCCACCAGCTTTCCCATCAGCATTTCGTTGTTCCCACACATCAAAAGCAACACCACAAAATTTGATTACTCGATCTAGTCAGGCTTTTTAGGTGTAACCCTGTTGCTGTGCATGTCCCCTTTTTATGGTCCAAGTCATCATCCTTATGTCAAGGCACACATGCACTAGATTTCCAATCAAAATATCCATGACTCTTAGCATTAAGTGAAGCTCATCTACCACTATATGATCAAGTGGAATATTCAACAAAGGTTGTTTATCACAACAGTAATTTTCTTTAGATTTTTTCGACATTTCACAAATTTCTTTCAGTGTTCTTGCCAAGGGTGGAGTGTTGCAACTAGTACTATTGTAGTCATCATTGATTCTGCAGCAATCAGTTTTATGTACCTTACACCAGGCACAAGCTTAGTGAGATGTTGCCCCCTTGAGTCCAAGCATCAGTAAAATAAATTTGTAATCGCCACCAAGATAGAATTCAGTTTTGACCTCATGGCCATCCACAGTCATTTTACTTGTGGCAATCAAGTCATTTACCTCATTGAATAAACTCTGAAATGACTCTTTTATTGTGTGGTGACTCAGCTGCACTGACTATACCAAAAGTTCTATATCCTTTAGCAGACATAACTGACTCCTCTGTTTGCAAAATTGAAAACAAAAGCAAAATAAAATTTGAATTTCTTGTCATTCTTGCACCGTCACCATTGATTTTGATTTTGATTTTGTCAGTGTGATAAGGTCAAAGTCACTGTTTTCCTTAAGAAAGTCAGAGATATGTACTTTGAACACAGTTTCAACTGAATTTACTTTGGCCCCTTCAAACTTGGTATTTAGTGGTTCAATTTGGCACATCTTATTAAGTTCTTCACGGCATTGTTTGACTAAGTAGGACCTCGGTAGACCATCAGTGACAATAGAAATTTCATGATAGCATGCATCTCCCACACAAATTTTTCTAATAGGAAGAGGATTTTCTCGACATTTCCTTTTCCTTCTTCAGACAGAGTGCTGTATTTTTTTTCTCCTTCTCCTTGAGTGGCTGAATCTTGACTGGTGGGTTTTACTTGTGATGTTGTGAACCACATTAGTGTCGGATTCTTTGACAGTTAAACCTACTAGTGCAACACCAAAGGAAGAGCAGAACAAGAGAGTAGCTTCGGCTTGTGAAATAAAAATTCTCAAGGTTCTGAACTTATTTTTCACAGTTGAAAGAGGTTTTCCCTGGTATGAAGTAATTCCCACTGAATTTTCCAACGATGCAACATAATCTTCGAGCTCTTTGTTTGTTTTCTGCAAAACTTGGGTTTCATTTTCCCTTTGATTCACTCCCAGCACCATTTCCTCATAGATTCTTTCCTTCTCTAACTCTAAATTCTCATCGGCCTTTTTCCAATCTTGTAGTTCATTTTGTATGTTTTCAACTTCTCCGTAGAGTTCATTTACAGATTTTGTTTGACCTTCCATGACATGAAACTTTCGTACTCGATTATTCAACTCTTGTCTTGCTCGGCCTTTAGTTTTCTTGTAATCAAATGAAATCTTGTAGGCAATATTTAACAAAGCTACATCAATTCCTCTTCATATATTTTCGTGATCGCTAAAGGCAAAGCATTGCCAAAATGTGCATTTTTATACTTAGCTAGGTCTACGTAACTAAACCTTTTTGCTGTAGGTTTTGAGAAATCTTGACTGGACATGTCACGCAACAGCACGTTTTTTTCTTGTACAATTTCGTGCCATTCTTTTAAAAGAGGATAGGGAATTTCCAAGGTGAAAAGCACTCTTTTCTCTTTTTTCCATCGCCTCATATCTTACTTCCAGTTTAGTGAATCTGATTGCGTCTTTAAAACGCGAGCAACATTGACTAAATTCGTCACTCATTTTACTTCAGCGATTGTGTAACGCAATTGCATAACTTATCAAAGGCGAGGTTACAAAGTTCAAGAAAAACATTTGTGATTCAAAATGGAGGATGAATGGGCTAGAAACCACCGTTTACGGCCGACTAAAAACACGGCGTTTTCTTGTAATTTTTCTCGGGATTTAAAAATGGCGTCACATTAAGGATTCCTCAGCAGTATTTTGGCTGGTTTTCCACCAAGTTTGGAACCGATTTAGTGGCTTTAATGGCTCCTGATTTTGCATATACCATGCCAGATGTATTTTTCGTGTAACCCAGCCTAAAAAAAGTTACGCGTTACCTCACGCGTGTGGGAACGCAAAAATATCTGATTACAAACCAATAGAAAATAGACAACAACGTAACCACATCCGTAACTAAAATAATTCGTAACAAAAAAGTCAAATTCCATCAAATTCGACTCAGGCTAAGTGAATCGTTTGAGTATCCTTAACAGTCTCAATGAGTCAAGTCCAGTTTACCCTCTGTTGTAACGGTTGTGACGGCTGTGACGGCGTCACACGCTTAAAGAACGAAATCGTACAGAATATATCGGGCATCAGATGATTTTGCACTATAAATGAAGTTAAGCATGTAAAAAAAAACAGTTTGATCTGGAAGAATGTTCCCGCGTATCTGCGAAGTGTGGCGATTTTCGACAATTTATGCTACCTTTGGGCTGTTTTCAAGAAAATGTATGGTGGAGTGCGAGGATTTATGGGTCAAGCAAAAATCGCTTCGGGAACCGCTTTAACACACGTAAATATACATAGAGCATGCAGCG